TGAAACCGCAAAAAATACTTCAACCTCCAGAAAAACTTATTGTAACTAACCTCTCCAGAATTAGATGGTGGTTGGTATGCATCCTGGCCAGGATCGTATCCTTTCTTTGGGAGATCTATTCCTGTTGGAGGGCTGAGAACGTATTTTGAACCTTAACCTCCGAAAATAGAAACAATAACAATGTGGATGGAATGCAGTCCCACCATCAGGAGCTGAAAGTTGGTCTTTCCGCGGGTCGAAGTCAAGTGTTCCAGCAATAGCCAGGGCAGTCACGATGTCTGGTGATGTGACAAACGCATGCGTGGCCGGATTAGCGTCGTTTCTACCGGTAAAATTTCGATTGTACGACGTCACAATGGTGTTCCTCTCTCCTTTTTTGACATCTTGACGATCCCATTGTCCTACAACAATGGCACATTACAAAATCAGAAAACCAAGCTGCAGGTCACGCCTTTTTTAGAACATGCCATACAGAAAAAAGTAAATGAAAAACTTATGGCACTGAAAAAGGTTACGTGTGTCCACAAAAACCATGGATATGCACAACAACACCAATGCACTTGTAATTTCATTGGTACGCTGAACACGTGTGTATTCTTAAACACACGGATATGACAGCTGTAGACAAAATAGTATTTTGGCAAACACGAAGAGATCTGTCATCACTTTTATGTGACCTAATAGCAATAAATGGTGTGAAAGACTAACTCACGGCCTTATGTTACAATAGGTTACTTGTGAATGCGAAAAATAAAAGATAAATCTCTCGGCTTTGATCTATCCCTGAGGGATGCGCCATGCATCCGACTTCACTAAGCATAGTTGGAGATGACTACATGCACATTTGGTCTTTACGATGACTTACGGTGACCTAGCGATGTTTCGAGCCAGTGCTGCTATCCTCCCAGACAAGTTTGATACTAATTTGCCGACTACGGAAGGCTTGGTGAGCCACGGGAGTGGGGATCGATTTCGTACGTATTGCGGGATGCCTCCGACCACTACACTACACGTCCCCACAAAAAGTAGGATTGAATAAACAACTCTATTAGAAAAGTACAACCTTCCGAGTCGATAAATGCTAGTAGAATCGACTACAAAAGCCATTTGACTTGTTGACTGGCTAATTTCCATAGGTCGTTGAACACACAGATTAGATTATTTACATCTATGAATTTATATATGCGGATGATCGATCCAGTGAAATTTATTGTTAATGTATTTTAGCTTTACCTCAACAAAAATGATAATCACGCACAAATTTGATGAAAAACTAACCAATACAAGGTCCGCAAGCGTTAGCAAGAACCAGTCCTCCAAAGTCAGTGAATATTTTTGAAATGCCATTTCTTTCAACAGTTGCACGTATTTGTTCAGATCCAGGGGTAATAAAGAACATGGTTCTGGCTCTAAGTCCTCTATCAACAGCCTGAACAGTTCAAGGAAGAGTGGAAGTTGGTACATAAATGGAGTGCAACCGTTAGTATAATCGCTTATTATGAATCCTCTCAATTAAGAAATAGGCGAACCTCTTGAAATGAACATACTAAGAATCTGCTGTCCAATAATATAAAGAGTCTTAATAATACAAATAAGGAGAAGTGATAAGAAATACCTGCTTCGCAATAGATGCAGCTCTAGTCATATCTTCATAAGAAGAGTTCGTACATGACCCAATCAGTGCAGCTTTGACTTCTAGTGGCCAACCGTTCTTCTTTGCATTCCCGCCAAGCTTATCAATTGGTGACGCAAGGTCGGGAGTGAAAGGACCATTCACATGCGGAATAAGAGTATCCAGATTAATGTCAATAATCTAAGAAGAATTTAAATACTTGCGATAACAAAGCAAAGAAATTGATCCAGTCTTACCTGATCATAGTGAGCTCCGTTATCAGCAGTGAGGAGATCTTTGTATTTACCAGCCTCTTTCGCTATTTCTGCACGTCCAGTTGCCTGAGTTTTCAAAATGTGAAGTGCAGCTCGGTTAAGACGATCACTTAGCAACTTACAAAAGCGAAACATAGGAGCACCTACTTCAAGATATTTTCTCATGTTTTCACTGTAAGGGAACACCGATGTAGTCGCTCCAATTTCAGCACCCATGTTGCAGATAGTTCCCATTCCCGTCGCCGAGATCGAGCCAACACCGGGACCAATATACTCCATTATAGCTCCAGTACCTCCCTTCACGGTCAAAATATCAGCAACCTTGAAAAATAACTTTGAAATACCATACACTAAAACAAACCTTGTGAATCCTCTACCTTCAAGATGACATCTTTTGCCGAAGTCCACCCAGAAAGCTTTCCGGAAAGTCTAACCGCCATAACCTTCGGACATCTGAGCTCCCATGGAATATCTGCCATTACGTCGACGACGTCAGCTCCACCAACCCCAACACAAAGTGCTCCCAGCCCCCCTTGATTAAATGCTTGTACAACTCACATGGAAATTCTCAACACGATTTTCACTGGACCGCTGTACTAGCCTCATTCTTAATTCAATCGTAAATATTCCCTTACCTCCATTAGGCATGTGAGAATCGGTTCCGATAAGCAAGAGACCTGGAGAAACATAGTTCTCAAGCATGACTTGGTGTACGATCCCAGAGCCTGGTTTCCAAAAACCAACGCCATATTTGTTCCCAGCCGATGAAAGAAAATTGTACACTTCTTTGTTGATATCCTAAAGAATATCTGAATACTTACACAAAAATAAAAGAAAAAAAATTTCTTCCTAGTGTTTAAAGAACCACATATACAACCACCTTCGCAGGCCAAGCGAGTAACTACACCTAAATTGGCTGCATAAATAGCACTCACTTTTGCTCTAGTTAGATCTAGAGCTCCTCCTTTTTGAGCCTCAATTAATTGGTCGCAGTGAATCGTAGATGGAACAGCAGTCTACAATATCAATAAGCATAAGATCTAAAGAAAAATCCGAACATGAAATGTCGCCTAACCCAAGGTGACCGAAATTATACGAAAATCTAAGCAGGCGATCACCTAACTGGCCTTTCAAACCTTCGGCAATCCAGATGAGATGAACTGAAGCATAGCCATCTGAGCAGTACCATCGTGCATCGCTACTCGATCTGGGCGCAATCGCAAGTAGGAGGCGCCTCGCTCGATGTCTTCGGTGGCGGGTTGATCTAAGTGGCCGTACAGGATCTTCTCAGACAACGTTAATGGTCGGTTCAACCTAAATGTGTGTAGTTTTAATTACTAATTTAAAAAGACTAATATTTTGCAACCCCCAACGGTTTAGTTACTGATCGTGGTTGGGCTGGAAGGTGTTCCCAGGTGTCGGGCTGCGATGTACAGATGGGAGATTCATCCCTTCGCAATCTCCCAAGTTGAGAAGATGGTGGCAAATTCCCCTCTGATCCACAAGGGCAACGACTGTCTGTGGTAGTGACGACTTGGGGCAGACTTTGGTCAGGATGACCTCGGGACTCCAGGAAATACCATGGCTTAACTAGCAAAATTCCGAAAAATGGAGACTATACTGCTGCCCGCACAATGAGTGAGGACGGACGGTCGAACTATCCAGGTAACTAAGGAATATGTTGCAAACCAACTTTAAAATTGATATAAATAAAATCTATGTACTCCTCTTCACTGATAAACTAACACGAAGTTCCGGAGTTTGCATATATCTCAGCATTATAGTAGTTATATTTCGCAGAAATACCCTGCCGTTAAAAAGAATAGGCAGTAAGTAAAAAGGTTAAGACTGTGATTATAACTATAGCCTCAGCTTAACTGGGTTCAATGCCGATGTGGGCACCCCAGATCAATCCCATTCACGGATGAATGCTGATGGCAAAAGATCGATAACACGAGGCTGTTATCAAACAATTACTCGGTTAAGGCCTCGACGTCTTCACCTTCTTCAGAGCTGATAATCCTAGTCGATGATCAAGTCGTTCGTCGTCGCGATGTAGATAACAACCATCATGTACAAACCGGTATCGCCGAGTGAGGTTGCTTCATCCGAGCAGTGCTCCACTGAAGGAGATTCGAGTCGATACGATTACGAAGACCCCACAATGCAAAGACGAACGACTATGGACCATCGATTGGCCCCATCGGGTCTCCAGAAGACGAAGACGTCGAAACGTTATTTGAATGAATGTTCAGTAACAATCTCGTATTAGCTTATTAACTAAAGAACACCATTAGTCTCTGTTCTACTCACCGGTCTCTCACGATCTTAACATTCTGCGACAACTTCTCGTACGGCAAATACACATCCTTATCGAACTTGCTTATGGGTACGTTCGCCTGAACGTGCTCCAGATTAATTCTATGCTCCCTTGACTCTCCATCAATGACATACCCAACAAAAACTTGACGAATGGAGAAACCTGACTTGAGCAGAATCAGCAAGCCTACGTAACCGTAGTGCAAACATTTCCGGAAAGTATTTTATCGATTAGAAGGACTTCAGACGTCAGAACAAGTGATGATTAGGGAGGCTAAAAGACAAAGGGTACATGAACACATGGTCCTCGCCACTCCAGTCAAGTCTGCACGGCCGCCGTATGGGGACGACGCCTAGTTGCGTGTGGCCTGCACGGACTCCGCGCGACCCGACCGGAGCGACGCATTCGCGACACACGGTGTTTGGCAGCCATGCCGCTTGCGGCGACATCCGTTCTTCTGCCTTTGTGGATTTGGTGATCTTAGAGAATAAGCAATAGTTTCCTCATAGCTAGCAGAATTCAGTGGTTGTGAACCTGAACGGATTGCAGAGGAAACCTCTCCGTGCCGTTCTGTGGGTGTGCGGAATACGAATGTTATTATTTAGTGTTATCTGTTACCATGGTCAATCATAGCAATCTGATGTTAACATTTGGAAATGCATTTCAGCTTGTTTCGACTTTATCTCAACATTTTCACACCCACATACTCCGTGCCATAACTGCGACTCATGTTGCTTGTCGCTAGCGCGCGCGTAGGTAGTGGTCGGAGCCGCCCTGAAGTACGCATGGGATCGATCCCCGCGCCCAGGCCAGCAGACCTTCCATCCCTCCGCGGTCAACAAATTGGTACCAGACCTGTCTGAGAGGATGGAAGCACTAGCTCAATAAATCGGTAGGCCAATACGAGTCATTCTAAGGGCCAGATATGCATTAAGTCATCTCCAACGATGCTTATTAAAGTCGAATACATAACGCATCCCTAAAGGACTGAGCTATGACGACATGCTACAAACATGTTCTTGATTTAAAACAAATCCTCAAATTTCAGGAGCATTCCCAATTGTATTGCAGAGAGTTATTTTTTCCCGGACAAGGAGGTACCTATTTCTCGATTCCAAGAAGATGAGAGACTTGGTGGGCCCGGAGCGGTATCGAACCAGCACCATGCTTGTGATGATCGGCATCACTATCACTGTGCTACCTGCCCTCTATGATTCATTATAGCTATTTGAATTGAAACTGCAGTGAATTGTCTATAAAATTGTCTGTCTATAAAATTATCCATCAACGAACTCGTTCGAAGGAAGATTTTTATGTATGTCTAGCCGCAGAATAGAAGGTTCTTGGTCGATGCACACTACAACATTTGTGTTGGATAAGCTCTCGATCGATTTCGAAAATTGTAGGGAAGGTACTCTGCCCGCCAAAATAGACCAATGGGAAAATGGTGACACTCATATAGCTCATACCGACCTTCTCGGCGTGCCACGTATGATTGTATAGGATGCATACTGTCCATTATGTGTTACAATACCCCAAATAATGAACAGTTCTGGTTCTCAATTGTAGAGAAATTTTTTATGGCTAAAGGATTTAAGGGGTTGGCGACATGACATCGTTACATAAAAAGCTTTGCTCTATCGATTTATCGATTTTATATGTGTTACTACTAGTTACATTTTTACTGCAGCCACAATCCAAGCACGTTGGCATAAGCACTGGTAAGTGTGAAATACAGCCCAAAAGACCGACTTTCTATAAACCTCCGTGTAGATAATATATTTATATGATCTTATAAACTGACTTTCTTAAGCTGATGCGAGGTTGGTATAGGTCTTCGTTGTCGTTGTCGTTGTTGTTGTTGTTGGTGTTGTTGGTCGATGGCTGATGTTTCGACAATTTCGCCTTCCTCAGAGCCTGGACGTATTTTATACAAGAATACTTCAGTTATTCGGTGGAAAAAAACTAAATTATTAATGAGGATCAAACTTTTAAATAGACGCCATATTGGTCAAAAACGCTACTCATCATGCCCTTACGAGTGGGACTGATCCACGCGTTGTTCACGTGGGGTCGTGAGCGAGACTCACCCAGGGATCAAAATATCATTTTGAAATAGGGCGCCAGGTCACGCGTGATAGTGAGGCATTCGTCTTTCCGGTTTATCCTTGGATTTTTGAAATTTATCCAAAACGCCTCGAGAGTTTTGCGCGTTGATGTTTTCGATTCCTGCGCTCGGATCCGCACATTCACTTCAAAATCATCGCCATTGTGCTTTTGTGCCCTATGCGTATCTAGAGGAGTGCTTTGACGAATTTTGACTTTCCCATATAGGTGTTCTTCTCTGCGGACACAAAGTGAACTACCCGTTTCCATAATGTAGTCTTCACTGCATTCCTTGCACGAGATCAAGTACATCGTACCTGAACTCGTGCAATCTCAGTCTCTCCTGTTAGGACAGATCACAGTTTTCTGAGATGCACAAACAATCATAGAGGCTGTCGCGAACTAGCTGACTGCGTAGGGTGTTAGATGAGAGGTCAAATCACCACATAATTTTAGTTAATAATTGGGCAGCTCTTCTTCGAAGAACCGTGGACTATTGGCTCGGATCGTCGGGTCTAATTAAGACAAAGACATCGAAACGTCAACCGAATAAAAATCCTTTATCAACCTCGTGTAGGCTTATCGAACAAAGAATACATATCGATTAGTAATGCCGAGGTTAAAAGAAAGTCGGTTTCGAAATATTCAATATCATATTTCATAATCATTCGGATAAACATCCATTCAATTTATGCTGTCATTTGCAGGAAGTTTTTTGTATGTTTAAAGTAAAATGATAATGCATTCAGATCAGGAGATCAATATCTGCTTGTATACATGGATATCTGCACTCACGAATCCGATAGAACTAGCACGTCACCCACAAGTCTCATTAACTCATAACTACCGCCCATGGAAATAATCTGCTTCGTACACGGTGACACCCACGAGCTCAGTAGACTTCGTGATCCGTGAAACATTTTCAGATGTGAATACAGTTTGTTAATAATGGGCACAAATAGCTTCGACCGTCTTTCGTCATTTTATTACAACTTGCTTCATGAGATAATCAGCCCTATATCTGTGCTTATCTTCTGATGTGTGGAATCTGATCCCTCATCGAAAACGTGACATCTGCAGAAGATCAGAATTTCATAGACTGGATTCGCGTTGTGTGTGCCGGTTGTATTCCAAGGCATCGTTCAAGCATCATATGGGTGGGGTGTAGAATTGTGGACGTCGTTTAACTATCAACCATAGTTCTGTGCCTTGGAGAATATTATTCTCTAATAAGTGGACGCCGCGAGTTTTGTACTTGTCAGTTTTATAGATCGCATCTTCTGTCGCTCTCTCAGATCGACAACTATAACTCTCCACTTTGTCGGGTTCAAATGTTGTAATTGATCTCATCATGTCAAGTGCTAACATGCCAGAGGTAATTTTAAGTACATCCTATGTTGAAAACATGGATAAGAATAAAATCCTCTATGCAAACCTCGGTAATGCTCTCGGAGTGTTCGATCCCAACACTCCTGTGTCAGAATCTGGGACATGTGTAGGGCAGTGCAGTGTTGGACGTGGCCTACAGTGCCCCATGGGCACTGCTAGGATTTCAGCGTCCCGGCTATCAATACCATTTTCTTCATGGAGTCGGTAAATTCCTGGCAGGCTTGTCAGGATATTTAATTAAACACTGCCTTAATACATTCGTATGCCGCTGCCATTTCTTGTTCAGGTCATATTCGCATTCCACCACACCAACGATGCAACGAATGGAATCAAATACATGCCGCTTTCTTATAAATTTGATCAATGCCGAATGCTTTATCCTTTATGCCTTTATCTGGTTTTATCCATTGTATCATACCGAACTGTTAGACTATCAGCAACATTACAGTACCACACACATATTCCTTAGGTCCGTTCATGTTACAACACTAATCGCGACTATCAGCTATCACTTAGATACCGCTATCGCACTTGAGCTTGGATTTTAATGATGGTGTGTTCCAGTTCTCCTTCTGCAGTCACTTCAGCTCGACCGTTACTGCAAGCTCTGAGTATGAATGTGAGTGTGGCCCATTTCGAGGCCCATTAGTCTGCTGTAAACCGAAGATGACACATGCGGAGAGTAGCTCTTGCTCGTTTACAGACCTCACTGTACAACATCCCTTTTAATGAACCGACGTCAGATGCACAGCAACAAATTTTTCTCCGATTACTGGAAGAAAATAGCACACCGAATGATAAAGTGAGTGTTATCTACCACCTTATTTCTCCCTACTCAACTGTTCTAAAAACATAAAGCACGTAAAAAGTTTAGATTCAACTGTCAAAAATAAATTAGGAGATGGTGTTTTGCAGGCGGCCAGTACCCTATACTTCAGACAGATATTCTCTGACGATCTGCCAAGGGATATACCTAATCCAGAAAGATACACACGTTTGGTGAGATTTGTAGTGAATGTGAAGAAGTTAGTTTGATGCCCTGAACCTAGCACGGACCGCCTACTTATTTGTGTTCTATTTTTTTTTGCAACTACTGCAGGGAAATAGGTTGCGTGCCTGTCACCCGTGTACAAACCATCGAGCTTTGTAAATTGATAACTGCCCTATTCCGTCGCAGACAAGTGCAACAATACTGCAGATCACTCAAACTGCAGGTATTTCGAAATGAAACTAAGTTTACAGTAATGGGGAGGTGCATCGTCATATTCGTATGCCTTAAATGAGCGGGTGATCACTGTTGCCTATGTATAGTACTGACTTTCGGGTCTTGTCAATTGACAAACGATCCTCTCTCACCTTGGCGGACGAGTTCGCCACTACCGCACTCTTCGGTCTTCATGAATGGAGCCTCGTTGGCTGTTTTGGTTCTTGTTGCGTTGTACTATTTTTTATTATTTTGAAGAAGAAAGACGATGAGGTTTGATGCTGTTCTCAAGTGATGCAATCTTTTCCGTCACAATAAACAGTGGTAAAAATGTAGGAATTTACCTGAGTTGTTCTTTCTAGTCTGGCCTCCCAACGGTTTAACGCCTCATCGTTGGTGGGAGGTGTCTGCCGGGCTGCGATACACAGCGCAGGATTCGTCCCACCAGCAGGGTCTCCCAAGTTGAGGAGACCGTAGTTTCTACCAGGAAGCCTAGCTAAGAGTAAACCAATACCAGGATCCACCACCGTCCTGGTATCAAAATGGCTTGGTGGCAAATCTCCCTCTGATCCACAAGGGGTGCGACTGCCTGTCGTGGTGGCGACCTGGGGCACACTTTGGCCAGGTTGACCTCGGAACTGCAGGGAACCACAGTGGCTAGACCAACAAAACTTCAAAAAGATGCAAATTATCTTGGGTCCACACAACCAGTGAAGACGGGCCATTCAAGTATCCGCGCAAGTTCTTGTCTAGAGGTTAAGGTCTGCATTAGATGCTTTATAAAAATTTCGCACTGTAAGGAGATGGGATGATGCAAGGATTCTGCTTCCTTTCTAGTAATTTACCATCGTATTTCACGAGAAGGAGGTGTTCTGGTCGTGGAAATGCGATATACAACAAGGGTCGTCCTAAGCATGGCCACCCAAGTTAGAAAAGAGCTTGACATCTCCAATCAGAACAACAATGGTCAATATGCTTATGGCAGAAATTATGGCCTTTCTGGATGAACTCGAACTGCAAATCGGTGGACCTATTACATCGTTGAACGGTGGATCTGCTCTCTCAAAGAAAAAGAAAAAATTGGGAAAGGAAATAGAAGAAGCGTGCTTCCACACTGTGATATTTTCTGGTGGCACCCACTCGTTAACACCCAGCATGGATTCGCGAGTATAATCAGCATACTATAAAAGAGAAACACGTTCTTCTATCATAAAAATTTTTGAGACTCCTTCCTGTGGAGCTAACTCCGTCTCAGGGCAGGTACAGCATTGCTTTTGGTCCGCAATTAAGCACGCACTGCGTCGTGGTAGCTCTTGTATCCCAATAAATAATCGACTGAGGATCCCTCACCAAGGATGCATAGAGGGCGGATAACAACAATAGCACTATGCTACCTGTATCCCCTGTAAACTCGCCGATTATAGACTTCTCCGGGTAGGAACCCAGCAAGGTATCTAATGGTACCTGAATGACACCAGGGTTTCTTACTCAGCTGCGATCACTCGAGAAACGTGAACATTATGCCACTTTTGCTGCGAGGCCTTTTGCTTTTACAATTCCCGGCATTAAAGCAGCCAAAAGTGGCTCTTCAGGCCGTAAACTGCATACATTTTCTCTTGACTGACTAAACAGATGGCTACGTCGAAATGCTCCGCTTGGGGGCTTTCCTGGTTACGATCAGCCCAAAGGGTATCGCACATCAACACCGAACTATACACATGGCCACGAATTATTGAAGCAATAGCAAATGTTACTCTGGATTAACTACAATAGTTACAATCGGCGAAGCAGAGGCAAGAAATTGATGGGACTTCTTTCAGGTTTGTCTTCTTCTCCGTATTGTTGAAAGCAGTGCTCATCCACAGGAAACACGCGTGAACGCGGCATGGACTCTCACGAACATGGCGTGTATATCAGAGAGAATGAACCACATAATTGTCGATCAGGTGGAATTGAACCAATCAATAACAGTCGAGTTCAGGCAGATTTTATTTAACTGCACTAAACAGTGTAAGTTAAATAAAATAATTTGCAGAAATTTACCTTCCGTCAAACGAGTAGGGATTATTTAAGGAACCATCAATCACTCTGTTGATGTGTAAATGGCATGAGATGAAGCAAAAACATGAAATTAATACATGTCACTCGGGCAGAACTTAATTATAAGACACCCTTCCGACTTAATGTAATCACTGGAAAATTTCAGAACGGTATTAACTCCCTGAAGAACGGTGTGATGTTGGGTAGAGGCGAGTTCCGTATTCAATGCATCTGGGCGTTGGGCAACATTGCAGCCGACTGTGCTGAGTGCAAGAGGAGGTGTCGCGAAGCTGGTCTCCTTACTGTAAGATTCCGTAACCTAATAACACTACGCAGATAAAAGAATATCAGTAACATGTGCAAAAGGAATTGTAATGGAGTGATCGTCTAAAAGTTGTCTACGCTAAGAAATTGTCAAATATAATGTTAGTTTACCTACCGTAACCGTAGCACTGGAATATTGATTGGGCTTTTCAGATTATTGCGAGCTTATTGACTCTGCAAACTCGCATCAAACACAATGAAGTGAAAATTATTCTGTGGTGTGCAATGACCGTCACGCGTGGTGGTGTTCAGGATACAAATGTACCGAATTCGGTAGGAACTATTTCTAGTCGACGATTGGCTAAGGGGAAGACTATAGTGGCAGTTATGTGTAACAAAATGTGCTCTCGTACACAGACGATAAGACTGTTGACTATATCGCTGACTAAGCTGGTAAAGCACTACATGATGTGGACGGATCTGGCTAAGGATTGCCTCTGGACGTTGGCATCAGTTGCGGACGACATGCACATAGGAACACAGGTGCACACCATTCTTGTTCTTCTGTTTTGCAAAAAGGCTGGGAGTATCCTCCAACGGGCATTTTCCTCCTTTTTTATCTTCGCTTTATTCCTGTATGAGATTAGCTTCGCATAATTCATTCAGATCGATGTCGTGCTCAGTGAACCGGGTTTGGTCGATTTGGTGTTTGAGATTCTGAATTCGGTAAGGGTGATGATTGTTTACTCATATAGCAACATCTCGGTGTATGTTCACATCAAGCATCGAGTATCAGTAGTGTGTCTCTTCCACTTGATAACAGTGAATGTCTGCTGCTATGTTGATATCAGCTGATATCTCAAACGTTATCAAAATGATGTTCATCGTCCACAGCGAATCACGTAGTTCGCAGATGATGACCTAATAAAAATAACCTGATTTCATATCCCTGACCGATTTTTTTGCTACTACAAAGTCATCGGCTGATCATCACCACTTTTTCCCAATCTTCCATTTCAGCCCCTCAGCGAGCTTCACCACGGTGCACTTCGCATACTGGGCAATATAATCACCGGTAACGACACACAGACATCAGTTATCATCTCACATCCACTATTTTATGACGTTTTGGTAGGTTTTGGCCGCTTTTTTTACCCATGTTAGTGTCTTTAAAATCAAAAACAGGTGACGTACGGTAAACCAATAGCACGATGGTCGATAGCTGAAAACTGATACAAGCTTGTCGTGAAACCAGGCTCAAACATTGGCTTAGGTTCTCGGTTGCACAGGAAGACAGTGGAAGTAGTCAGGGATTAACACACAAAACAAGAACAAAATTTGCTGTGAAATGTTATTTAGGTGTAGTTTTGACTATTAGCGATGAAGTCCGTCGCCATTCTTTGGTTACCTCACTGCTTGACGATTTCCGCGTGGACTGAAGTGTTCGATTTTCAAAGTAGTTGAGCTCTTTTCTGCTAATTGAGAAGACGTCTTTCCTCAATTCCTGAAATGGTGGCTGTGCTAAAATCCTCTCAGTTGGTTACCACACGCACTATTGTGGCGGGCACCATGATTCNGCACCAAACTCTTCGCAGCAAAAGTTTAGTTCAGAAAGAAGCTTCTGATAATTTCTTAGCATAGATGATTCCGCTGGGGTAAATCAATTTCAGTATACGATAGTTCCATATCTCTGAACATCGACCATTTCTGATGAAAACCACAGAGAACAAGTACTTGATCAGGAAAACTATCACGTGACGTATTCAGCAGAACCTGTGTCTCATTAAAGTTATCAGTTTTAGAGAATGTAGTATACTGAAGTAATTTTCAAATTAATCTTTCGAAATAAAACCATTTCTGTCTTGCCGTTCGAGAATTTTCTTCCAGTGTCGTTCGTTGTCGCACAAATCTCCCTTCGATATTCGACGCGAAGCCGCTTGGATGTGTTCGAATATTGCAGCCAGCGGACCCGAGCACGCCGATGTGGGTGTCTTTTCTAGAAAATTGAATTTCCTAGTTTTTTTCCTCTCGAAATCCGTCGTAGACGTTTTTCCTAGTCGTAGCCATTTTCAACCAATCGTAAAATACTTGACTTCCCATTTTCCTTTTGAGCGTTCACTAAGTTTTATTAAAACGACCATGAAAGTCAGATCAGGTGCTCTCTACTTTTTTGAACAAACTGTTTTTCGTGGAATCTATCAGATAATGGACAAGAAATTTGCTTCACGTTTAAATTCATACTCATTTAGTTGCTGTTCTTGGCTGAGAATGTTTACGCAATGCTCCTCGAAGGTGTAGAATCGTCAGAGAGAAAATTCAAGAAGGTTAGTTGGCAACCTCGAATGATTCATCCTCCACCTGATCTACAAGGGGTGTAGACTGCCTGAAATAACGGTCTGAGAGTGGCTTTGTGCAGTCTGGAAGAAGCCTTGCTCAAACCGTAACGAATGAAGTGGAACTTGGGCAGCAGCTCACATCACTTTCTGTGAAGAGCGGCTATTCATCTATCCAATTAGTTTCTCAAGTTATTGAATCTCAATAACATCATAAAATAAGAAATACATCCTTTCTATCGGATTTTCCTTATCTTGATATCATTTCAGGAATGTATGTGGACCATTGTTAATTTGCTTACTGGTGCAAACCGTGATAGGATTGGACTGATGATGGGATCTGGTACGAAATCTGTTTGTCATGGAAATTTCTTAAATTGGCAAGGGATAAATTTAGGAAAAGAAAAGTGAAGAAGAAGCGCGTGTGATTTTGAGTTTGGGTTTCGTTTCCACATAGTTTGCTTAGATATAGGGCTATCTCTCAAATCACTTGGATTTTTTAGTGAATACCTTGAGCATCACTTGTATGATCAGAGCCTTCATTCGTGTTCCTCGTACACCACAGCTTCTCGGAGACTCCTACTTTCTCATTTTTTCAGGAAAAGATAGCAAACGATGGATTTCCAGTCACTTTCGAAATAGAGTGGTGACTGTATTATCTTCCCGGTTGTTTCATTAACGATTCACGATTCCTAGACGATTCATCTTGTACTTCAGTGTTGACATGCACGCTAGCCATTTCGCCACTTACACGTGAAAATTACTACATGTGCATGAAAGATTGCGCGAGGTTAGCAGGAGGTCAGAGATGTTCAGCAGTATATACGTATTGATTGGTTCGATTCCGATTAGGCCATTATGAGTCGTCAATTTGGGAAAAAAACTTGTATAGAAGGGTAAAAAACGCCAACTATATTAATTGACAAGCCCATCGTATGTCATTGTACAGGCCAAATATAAATTCAATCACCTCTACGTTTCTCGATGAAGTCGAAGCGATGGGGCCATGCTCAAGGATTGATAAACGCGGAGCACTTCATCGTCTACCTTTTCGTTTGAGACATATAAGTGCATCCGTCCTGGCGAAGCCTATTCGCTTAATCCACTCCCTCTATTCACCATTCTGTGTGAACGTAGCAAGCTGTTTATGATGACTAACTTCCGTTATGCCGGTGATGACTCTGCCATGTGATTTTAGGTGTGTTCTTCATTCTACCAAATCTTCTGTCAACACCAGATCCTCGACTAACCGAACGGACACTGAATGCGATGCGCTTGCTACTACCTCTATATCCAGAACATGTTAGCTATGTTTCGGATTCAAATATGTTGGACTTCGTGGAACCGAGTCTGCTTGAGAATGATGCACACCTGCAGGTGATATTGGACTGAGTGGACAGCCGTTTATCCACGAAATTGTGGTGATAGTAGATATTATGCTTGTTTTTAGGAGTTGAAGAACGAGATTGAGATTTTTATAAACGCCACAGCAGCACCAGCTTTGCCACCGTGTGCATTCTCATTTGTAGATTAACGATAAAATATGGAATTTACTTCGACGGCGCAATAAAAAATGACCTCTCAATACCTCTTCTAGCAGACGAGAAGAAAGACATTTGGACTTGTGATTTTTAGTACTGCGAAACGATTGTGTGCAAAAAAAAAACTGCATATCCTTTGAAACTAGTGCTCATTAAGGTTGCAGCATATCACCTATTCCTCTTTTGTATTCTTCTTCTGTTTTCTTTTTTCTTACCGGGATTTATTCGTTCACCAAACAACGTTGTTCCTTCGAGGGTTCACCTTCTTCTATGAATGCAGAATGTTATATACCTGATACTTGAGTGGCCCGTACTCACTGGTTGTGCAGGCTTCAGCATAATCTCCATTTTTCGGAGATTTTCTGGCTAAGTCACTGTGGTTCCCTGGAATCGCGAGGTCAGCCTGGCCAAAGTCTGCCTCAGGTTTTCACCACCACAGGCAGTCGCTGCCTTTGTTGATCAGAAGGAGATTTGCCACCAAGGGACTAGTTTGATACCAGGTCGGTTATGGATCCTAGTACTGGTTTACTCTCAGCTAAGCTTTCTGATGGAAACTATGGACTCCTTCTCAGCTTGGGAGACACTGCCAGAGGATGAATTCCTCGCCATACATCGCAGTCCAACACCCAGGAACGCCTCCCAGCCACAATGAGGCGGGCGGTAAACCGTTGGGAGGCTTATAAGATCATATAAATGAAATGTAAGTATAATGTTGATGAGACACAATATTTGAAAAACTCCAGACGACCGGTATCTACGGTGGAGACCGAGCACGTTACTACCCTCTCCGCTCTAACGCGCACACCACGACACCATGCGAGTCATTCGTTGTAGGCCAATAACACGGCTTAGAGACTGCTATATGTTTCACAGCCTATACCGAGTGTATTTAAGTATTCTTCATATCAGGCAATTTCATACGATAATCATTATCTGCCATAGCAATTTTGCCATAGCAAATAAAAAAATAACTGTTGGTCGAAAGATTGAACTTCATATGCCCTAAATCCTTGCACCACGAACCTTTCTCGCAAAAGGATCACATAGCAGTTAGTCACGAGCACTTTTTATCAAATACCAGGTGTAGAAAATGAACTGTCATTATCTAGTGCTCATATAAAATCTATGTTAAAGAAGCCATGAGATAAGTAGGAAAAGTGCAGTAAAAATGCTATGTTTGGCGAAATGAGCCTTTGCACACTACACAAGGCATCTCGAGATTTGTGTGCCAACGACGAAGGTACACCTTCAACACCGCATGGCGAGATCAACTCTGAGGACATTAATTACATGAGAGATTCTACAAGTGTTTGCCTGGATTAATAACGTTTATCCATTCAGGGCGCGTGTGGCGCAGTGGTCAGAGGCGTCCCTGCAACACACACGTGGAATCGATACCCGCGCCCATGGTCTACCAAGCCTTCCATTCCTAAGCGCTAGAAAAGTTGGTACCGGGCTTGTTTGAGAGCATATCAGCACAGGCTCGAAACATTGGTAGGCCACCGCGAATGGTTGTAAAGACCAGATATACATTCAATCACCTTTAAACGTTGCTTAATGAAGTCAAATCTATGCGCATCCTTCAGGGATCGATCAACGCCGAAAGCTTTATCATTTTATCGATTCATGCGCTAAGGTATCTACCGTTAAAGTCAAGGTTAAAGCTTGGAAACAACTGTTAGTTTTTAGATAGCCTAACACATAATCGTCACCAATGCAATCAATACCTTCCCTTGACTGAGAGATTTTCCTGAGTGTCAAATTGCGATGTACAACGAGAGTTATCTTTGCAGCAAGGTCTTTAACTATGAAAATTAGTGCGACAATTCCATTTGGAAGATCACTTATCAGTGAACCAATACCAGGATTCAACGTCATCATGCAGTAAAATTCGCAGGATAGTGAATCTCCTGATATGCGAAGTCAGGTAACTCCGCTTAGACCACCTTCGTAAATCCAAGGAAGAAAAAATACTCCGACCATAAATAAACCAGCCTCGGTGGTCCACAGATTGGGCGCTCCTGGTTACGATATAGGACGATGAGGAAACCGGTAACAGCCGATCAAATCTCGAATCGCGCAAAACGATTGCAAGCGGATGAAACCAACACGCCCACGATAGGCCACGGAGACTCTTGCGTTGCATCTATAATAGCAGAACATCCCTCTTCAGTCGCCGATCTTAGCGCTCTTGAGTTGCTCGTCGAATTCAATTACATTTGATCGCTTTACAAGAGGCGAAAAAACGCGAAAACCTAAGGACGAAATGTTAGAGGCGTTCGCTTTGTCATAAACCCATCTATTTCCCATCTAGTCACGGCAAACGAAATCCTATCACCACACTGGGCCATTCTGTCTTCAAGTTCCGTGTTAAAAGGAAATAAGTATTCATCAACTGCTACTAATCAACCTATGCAGCTTATAAGTCCGAATCAGATTTTTCGATCGGTTGGAAAAAGTGGTTCATAACGAAAATTCCTTCCATATTCTCGTTATCGGAAACACAAGCCTAGACTAGGAAAGGCCGACAAAAACGGATACATAATCAGGAAATTTAGAATATGACACCGAAATGAGGGTAGAAACTGACTCATAGGACTCCTGGCTCATCTCATACGTGTCTTCAATGAAAGTATTCGCGAAAGGTGGATGGATTGTTCATACAAGAAGAAGACACGACACATGGACGAGAAGAACTGTGAACTGAACTCCAAGTGAGCAAACAGCATTCTAGGGAAGACCAGGATGGACCAACGCCTTTGTGGTCCTCGTCAACCAAGTGGGATTCGCGGCTGAAAACAATGAGTGGACCACAGAAAAACAGAGTCGTAAACGTCACAATGCCCGAAGCAGACCACCACAATGGACGGTGACTGTGCGAGGAAAACACAAATAACAGGTGCAATTGAGACCGCAATACTTATTAAGATGGGCCGTTCAACTATTCAAGTGAATTTTCAAGTTCCAAAGAAAACTTTGTTGTAACACATTAATCAACGCATGCTCTATGAAGAACGAGTGATTCCGGAATATTTACACTACAATTAGGTCTGCTTAAATTCCCTCTCCGAGTGAAGGGCCACAGACCCCGATTACCAGAAATGGTCAGTTGCCCTATATAGCAAGTGTCGGACATTTTGTGGAAAATCCGTTGAAAACAATTGGTATGAAATTGTAGCAGAAATTAACTCGGAATGGAGGTCTCGAATTCAAACCTTGCTGAACATCTAAAACTGCGCGGTAAGGATAAAAGGCTTGGCAAACGTATGTTGTGTGGTTTTTCGCTTTAATTTATGAAATTGCATTGCACAATGATTTTTGTCTTAGCGAGGAACAATTTGAAAAAATTGGCGCTGTAACTGGCACTGGACGAGACTGCGAAGGATTCAAACCCATTTACTGGGAAAAAAGCGGTGGGCCATCATACGGTGTATTGGAGGGAAAACAATGATCGGAATGAAAAGAAAAACAGATCCAGGCAGCAGTGGCTAGCCGAAGGAATTCATTGCCATCACACGGCAGAGCACATTCGTACGTCGTGCAAATATGCTAAAAAGTTGGAAGTAGTTAAGAATTCATAACGGATCGTAGTTCACCATACTTCTCGGACTTCTTTTCGAAAGAACCCTTCTTTTCCCGTAGCCTAAAAACAATTTTTTAAAAAATAAAGTCTAAAATGTCTTTTTGTCTTTGGGATTTACATGCTGGTGAGAAATAAAAGCTCCGACGAATGTTTATTCTGTACAAAATATCGACCGTCTGTCGCGTCTAGCGCAGTAGTTAGAGCTGCGTTGCAATACGCGCCACCGGATCTTCGGTTCGAACACATGGGAGAAGAGAGCCATTCCAGAAACTGGCATCAGATTCCTCTAGAAGGATAAGAAAAACTGTCTGAACATATCTATAGATGTACGCAAGACATAATACAAGGCAAATATTCATCCAGTCATTTCTATGATGGTTGATGAAGTCGAATGCATGGCGCATCTCTCAGAGTTTGATAAGCACACTTAAGGAAAGTGTTTTCCTTCAAGCTTCACGGTTCATCGACTGTCTAGCAAGTTAGATGGGTAAATGCTCGGCGGAAGATTCCGAGGAAGCCTTCCAAATTGCGTGATAGGAAAGAGAAGCGATTGGAAACCGGCACTTCACAATGACGCTCTCAACAAGGTATGGCATTAAAGAGGTTATATAAACGTATCATCAGATTCGCGGAAGAACTCAAAGGTCCTCAAACGGTTGTACTATTGGTCTGAGGTCCAAATATTGCAAATATCTTAGCATCATAATGGTTGTATTTCACATCATACCGTGTCGTGAAAAATAATAATAGACGGTAAATAAGAAGTTAACATTAATGGCAAAATTGTCCGAAATCCGACAGGATGACGACCATACATGGCAGTATCACTTCCTTATCAGACCACAAGCGGCGGAGAAAATCTAATCGTCATTGCTTCTCCACTATTGATTTCCTCTATCACAACACTACGCCTATCATACGTCGTCTGTTATCACAGGTCAAAAGTGTTTTTTGGGAGCAAGACCAGTTCTAGTTGATATCCGGGAGTTAGGACGAACAAGTTTTCAATTATCACTTTTGCCATAATTGGATTAAGCAAGAGATCTAATAGAAGACGTATCAAACGAGATCGCCGTGTGCAAGACAAGACACCGGTATTCCATCGGATCTTTTAAAGTCGATTTAATTGAGAAAAGAAGCTAAAACAGATATATAATAGAATAAAGGGATGGATGGCTATTTTTGTCGGACTTTCCTACAAGATTTTTCTTTTAGTTCTTCGCTCTCGGTTTTTTTCGCCGAGTATCTCAGAAATAAAGACCTTAGAAATGCATAGTAGGATAGAGCTGAAGGAGTTTTAATTCTTAAATTTGAGCATACTGTGGAAGTGCTCCCATGCTACTCCTCATTCACAGAGCGCTGGTTGCGAAGAAAACACACTGAACTTGCATTAGACCTCCGTCACTTGTATGGCGAATCTCATTAGATACAAATGCATCCCTGCCGGCACGAATTTGCATATCTCTTCGGGATATCTTCGCCAAAATCTGGTTCTTTTCATGCTTGGCAAAGCGAATCTAGGTCGTCAGGAACATCACCTGTGCAGCTCCCTTCATATAAAAGAGACACTCATGCACCGGTGAATTTCGGTGCTTCATTTCATGGCTACAAGTTTCCTATTTCTAGTTTGATCCTGAGAATCTTTATCGATTGCCTCATTTAGTTTTATTCTGGGTGTTAGAATACGTTATATCTAAAAGAAATGCCAACTGTTTCATCTACCACCGAAATGTTTGGACACCAAAAGTGCTCATCACAGCTGTTTTCCCTCTTAACCTAGCTTTTCTATTTGTAATGAAGAGGTATGATCTATATTTCATGTGTTCCTCCTATCATAATTGTAGATGTCACCACGTTCGGTGGCCCTTGTGGCTACAAGTCTGGGATGCCTTGCCCTAGTCGCTTGTCTGCTATCTTTTCCAATGATCCTCACCGAGATTAGCAACATTCACGCCGAACTCGACGCCGAAATCGAGTCGTGGAAGCTGGAAACGGATATTCTGTGGAAGGACATGAACAAATACGGCCGCATTCGTCGTCAAGCATATAGCTACGCCGCTCCTCTCACACGTGCAAGCTTCTCCGGTCCACAGGTAAGTGTCACGACGCCTGGAAGGCCACGGCCTAATGTTTTGCAACGAATCAGTACGTTTCAGAGTCCCAAAGTATTTGGAGACCAGAATATCAGAAGACCATCTCACCGCTTTGCTGCAGGCGGTCATAGTCCAGATAGCGTTGGTGTTGCATCCAGTCTTAGTAGCAGCAGTAATAATGGAAATAGTAACCACATTAGCAACAGCAATGTATTCCCACTGACTGATGGAGCACCTTCCAGTTAGTATTTATAACCTAATCATAGGTGATAAGATGGCAAAAATGTTGAACATTCTATCATTCCAGTTCAACCTAATGAAAACTGCAACTGTAATCTCGAAAACACATGTCCAGCAGGACCGCCTGGTCCAAAGGGTGTTCCTGGTTTCGAAGGACCAGACGGAATTCCAGGAATCCCCGGAATCGATGGAAAGGACGCCGAAGATGCCAAAGCGCTGACACAGCAGTATGATGGATGTTTCAACTGCCCACAGGGGCCTCCCGGACTTCCTGGTACTTCAGTAGTATTTTTTAACCTTTCTACTAGGTCCCTTCAAACTTATACCTATTTTAGGACCCACTGGGAAACCTGGAGCCCGTGGTATGCGTGGAGCACGTGGTCAGGCTGCGATGCCGGGTCGTGATGGGCAACCTGGCTTCCCTGGAACCCTCGGTGGTGTCGGAGCTCCAGGACCAGTTGGCGAAGAAGGACCTCAAGGAGAACCTGGCGAGGATGTAGAGCATCAGATTGGACTTCCTGGTGCTAAGGGAGAGCAGGGACCACCTGGAGAGCCAGGAGATCAGGGACTTCAGGGAGACACTGGCGCCCCTGGACAACCCGGTCCCACTGGAGTCCGTGGTCCACAGGGAGAGAAGGTTCGTTCACTTAAGCGCTAAGATTTCTTGAGTTCAATTCAAAATCGGTGCAGTCCTTGGAAGTACCATAGCGTTTAGTGCTCGAAATGAATCATTTCAGGGAGATGATGGAGCCTTTGGACCTGCCGGAGAACCAGGAGAGGAGGGCGAGCCCGGAAAGGATGCCGAGTATTGCCCATGCCCTAAGCGCAATGCTGCCCAGATTGCACAAGCTGGTGAATACCGTGAATACCGCCGTATCTGAAACTGATCTGAAAATTTTTCACCTCTCGTGTGAAAATGTGCAAAACGAAATGAAGTGGTTTGCATTAAATGTAGTGAATAACGCTGGCTGTGTTCATTCATATGAGATCCATAATTGACTATAAGATAGTTGATCAAAGTTATTTAGACACATTATACTTCCATGTGATTTCTGTGCAGTTGGTCTATACGTGACATACTTAGTGAAAACCTTATAGGAAGCGGCTCTGAGGAAGGCAAAATCCGCCGAAACGTCAGCTTAATCGTGAACAAAGAATAACAACACCTCGCGTTTGCTCAACTAAAATACGAAGAAAATTATTTAGACAAGGTTCTTAAGTAAATTGTGCATACTTTAATGAAAGTTTGTTAATTCTTTTGAATTTCGCAATTTATCTCAAGCAGGACGGGCGGATGCAGCGTAGTTGTTAGAGGTGCTCTGCACACATGTGTTCAATCCCACGCCCGAGCTCATTAAGTCCACCAAATCTCTAGAGATTGGCGAATTGGTGCCAGAATTGGTTTTGAGGATAGCAGCACTAACTTTATACATCAGTAAGCCATTGGAAGTTACTGCAAAGTTCAGATGTACACTCAATGACGTTTAACGACTCTTAATGAAGTCGAATGCGTGACGCATCCGTCACAGATTCTTCGCCACCGAAAACCTTGCCCTTTAACCTTTATCCTTCTATCTAAAGTAGTGTCAGGCAAATATAAAGTTTTGTACACCCAGGTAAGCTTTCATGATTCCCGCATGAAACGTATGCACATGCACATGAACAAACTCATTTTGATCAAAAATGCCATTGAAAAACTTACATCGATGGCCGGCTTATGCGACTTTTGGGAGCCTCAGTAATAGTGCAAGTAGCCGAGATTTTTGCAGAATTCGTTGATTTTCTTCTATTTGAAAACACAAAAGTTTAAGCGCCATAGTGCTCGAGTAGCACGTCTGCAATGCAAAGCACGACACAACAGAGAATCTTTCTGGCTTTATGGAGTTACTCTTTAAGTCGTCCATCTTCCAAGTGTGGCATGTGTTTTACGGGCAATGAGTGTATTTTGGACATCATAGTCCATTCGTACCGGTAACGATTCTTTAGGACAGACCAAGTATTAGCCACCACTTAGTGAAGTTAACCATTCGTGCGGTGCTACTTCCACTGGATTCGGCTCGATGCGACAACGAACAACCACATCGCAACAACGACCCGGTGTGGACCATCAACTCGAAGCAATCCGGTTCTTAAGAAAAAAAAGAAAGACATCGGAACGTTAGCCGAATTGACCTTTCCATCAACCTCATTTTTGCTTAATAATGGAAGTTGGTGTACCATATAGGCCGATTCTAATATTTAATCATCTCCGAAGAGCGTATGGCACTGTTTGAAGGCCAAAGCCGCAAAGCAAGGGCCTCGGTTGGTGCAATGGGTTAGGTGAGCTCCGGAAAGGCTAATTGCGGGTTAGGAGATGGCGTGGGATTTGAGTTTTGCGAATATGTGAGAATTATTTCGGTTATATTTCCCATAATACCTTGCCATGGAAAAATGATAGAAAGTAAATAAAAAGTTAAATATTGTGATACCGACTGCAACCTCAGCTTAACTTAGTTCAATGCCGATTTGTGCCTCTCAGGTCATTCCTGCTGACGGGCGACTGCTGATGGTACTTTTAGGGCAAGAGAAACTTGCCGAAAGGAAGGGAAAGCAAGGGACTCGGCAGTTCACTGGGTAACACGTGAGTCCCCGAAAAGGGTAATCAGCGGTTCGAAGCTAGTCTGGAGTCTGAGTTTTACAAATGTCTCAGTATCACTCAAAAGACCGGCTTTCTATAAACCTAGGCATAGATAGTTGATATATTTATTTATACGATCTTATAAACTGTTCTTGTTTAGCCGATGCGAGGTTGGTATAGGTCTTTGTTGTCGTTGTTGTTGGTGTTGTTGGTCGATGGCTGATGTTTCGGCGATTTCGCCTTCCTCAGAACCGTGATGTTTCTTCAGTGGGACTCCACTCGTAATATCACGGCTCTGAGAAAGGCGAAATCGCCGAAACGTCAGCCATCGACCAACAAAATCAACAACAACGACAACGACAACGAAGACCTATACCAACCTCGCATCAGCTAAACAAGAACAGTTTATAAGATCATATAAATAAATGTCTCAGTATCACTGTAGTTGTGTTTCACATAATACTCTGTCACGAAAAAACAAGAGGAAGTAAAGGGGAAGTTAAACGTTATATTATATTAAAGTATCTAATATTAAAGCGGACAATGGGAACATCTACGGAGAAGAAAGTGGTTGAGATCATTGTTTTAACATAATCTTCGAAATCTCGAAAACTCGTGAGTAGAAGAAATTGTCAGCGCTTTTGGGGTGATACCGCGAGTATCCCTCCTTACGACAGATGTGCAATAGGCATTCGGCTTTTCACGCGAGTAATCAACGATTCTGTCGTATTTGTCATTATGACAAATATCAGATTTCTCAGAGACTTCGTGCGACTAAATCATAACGGAAAACAGCAGTCGGTAACAAATGTTTTACGAGTTTCCAACAGCGTAACTATGTGATCATCGCCACACCGAAAACAGCTCTTCCCGAAAAACTAAAAGAGAAACATATCGGCCCTCCTCCAACAGCGGTACTCATTGAAACAACTCTAGTACTGAGACTAGTTAAGAACTCTACTTTTTTATGTTAGTAAGTCCCTTTATACCTATGATGACCCGTCTTCACTGGTTATGAGGACCCCAGCATATTTGCTGGTCTAGCCGTTGCGGCTCCTTGGAGTCCCGAGGTCAGCCTAGCCAGGTCGTCACCACCACAGGCAGCTGCCGCCCTTGCTGATCAAACGCAATCACGCGACTAGTCCCATACCAAGGACGGTGACGGATCCTGGTGTTGGTTCACTCTTAGATCGGCTTCCTATGGAAACGCCGAACTCCTCAGCTTGGGAGACTTTGTTGGGAGGATTGATCCTCCGTTCATCGCAGCCCGACACCCACGAAACCTCTCAGCCACGATGAGGCGGGTAAACCGTTGGGAAGAAGAAGTCCTTTTATATCAATATAAATTAGTTACGTTTAATCACCTTTACATTCTACTGGATTTCCAGCAGTTTATTATAGGTCGTCATGACGTCTGAGTGAGTCATTCAAGAAGGAAGTTTTTATGGCAATTTCCTAATTTTTTGAAAATAAACTCTACTTCGGAGCTGAATCACCTACTGGCAACCCATGGTCGGAAAAAAGATTCGTCTGGAATGCTCTCTGAGTGTAATATTTATCTAATACTTGTTTTCTATCTCTAGCGGGGTGAAAATGCCGGTTTTCAAACTCGTGGCATGGTCAGTACCAAAGACGAAAGAGTTCTTTATGCGATTAAAACAGATCGTTACTTCGTTTGACCGGTTGGCTCTTGTTCCGAATTTCTGAAATAGATATATCACGGAATTAAAGAATACTTCATCGCAGCTGCTGCAACTCTCTGTCACGTTGAGATATACTGCCACCTAGAATATGATAACTATATCTGTCTATCGGTGCCCGTGGCGCAGCCCGTCGGAGGCGCTCTGCAGCACGTATGGGATCTATACCCATGTCTTTCGCTCACCAAGCATTTGAAACCTCTGGAGCCTGCGAATTGGCACCAGATTTGTCTGGAAGAGTGGAACCACTGGCTCGATACATCGGTAGGCCACCGCGAGTCGTTATAAAGGCCAGATGTGCATTCGTTCACCTCCAATGACAGTGCTTAATGAAGTCGAATGCATCGCGCATCCCTCAGGGATTGATCAATGCCGAAGGCTTTATCCTTTTCTTATACCTATTTAATAAAGCGTTTACCTGAGACACAGCACCTCCTACCTTCCTACGGTAAAGTTTCCACCTCATTGGACACTTATTAAATGTATTCCCGCCTCATTCTTGTTTGTATTGCAATGAAACTAAAACTTAACTAAAACCTACCTTTTATGCTTTATTGTGAGGTGGTTTCATCGGTAAAATCGACACAATGGTAATTGTAACAACTTTTCCAAAAGCTCACGATAGCTTTATGCCCCAGTGCTTCAACGAAAACCGAATAGATATTGCATGACAACTCCGTGTCTGCTTGCCAAATCACAAAGTACCTTTTAAGTTTCACAGTGCAAAACTGTTTGCAAAGTTCTATAGCCACGCTAATCACTTTGTAATGCTCTGGATCTACAACAGGTGAAGCGAACTTCTCATCACAAGTTGAACGCTTTTCACACTGCATGCATTGCCTTCAATACACATGCAGAGGAATAGGGTGGACTTTGAGCCTTGTTCTCAACGAATTTTTATTCTACGCGTTTTATTTTGCTGCACAGAGTTTCCTTGCTAGTTTGCCACTTGACGTTATGCCACATTTTAAGCGCTGTCTATAGAATATTTTACCTTAATCATTTACTACACCATATTCCACATTTAATGATTCGCAGAAAATTGTTCCTTTGTCAAGTTTTCTGGCAAAGCGGTAGGTGTTTCTAACCAGATATGTCTTAATATATCTCCTACAAACGAGATTGTAGGTGGAATTGAAGGTACTAAGACAGACCAAGGCAGCAACACAGAGTGGGCTTTCTGGAGGTTACGCCGAGTTTAAAAAGTCTACAAGCAAGAAAACATGTGAAAAAAAACAGTTCATATGGTATAAACTCAGAAAGAAATACGTAGTCAATTTTCTGGCATGACGGACGGCGCGTGTTGAATTCAAGACAAACCGCAGGCGGCGAAAAGGTAGGTAGGGAGGCAGGCTAACGCCATACAAAAACAAGCGCTGTTGCGAATATGTTGATCGATTTCTATGAAAGACCAAAGCTACTTGCTGTCACACTGGAGTCATAAACGAAGACATTCGATTAAGATGAGATCATTGTTGATGGCAAATCCTTGTGAAATCTTCGTTTAACAAATGACATCTCCATCTTTTCGAGGAGTACATGTAAAGCAGGAACAATGCTCAATGAGCTCAACGAATCCACAAAAACGATAGGACTAATCATAAATAGAACAAGGACCCAGTTCACGAAAAACACACGGTGCGAATGTAAACAAAGTCAGCTCTCTGGTTCTCTAATTATACAACCCGCCTTTCATTCGTTCCTGGGATGTTAAATGAACATGGAGAACAACAGGAAAAAGTATTTTGAGTACACAAAGCAGAATTGACTTATAAAGCCATCGATCATGTAATGTACCAAACTTTTTGGAATCAGGGGTGCTTCCAGGGCTCTGCTATGCACCTGCGACTTGGTTCACACCAGCCAGTCACGTTGAACATTCATTGTAAGATCCAGACAGCCTTTGAAGATGTTTTGTGGAAAATAAGCTGCAGACAACATATGACTGAAATCCACAGTTCGGACCTTCGAAATCTATTCCGTCCTCGAGACCCAAGAGTAAACACAGCCAACAAGAAACTCCTTGGTGAAATAAGTAGAAAGGCTGACGACAGATCTGCGAAAAGAACAGTAGGCTGTGGTCAAGAGCAAGCATACATCCTCTAAGAGAACCACCTACATGGTGGCCAGACGTGTTTTTCCTCAACCAGCGGCATTCCGAACTGGAAACGGCTTTTAGATTATACAATTCCAATAACTGGATAGAGCCACAGTTTCGAATACCTATTCTGCCTCTGGGGCGCCCAGCAATACACATGGGATCGATCCTCGCGCCCCTGGCCCACCAAGCCTTCCCTCCGGGGTCGGCAAACTGCTGCCAGACTTGTCTGGTAGGATAGCAGCACTGCCTCGATACATCATCTGTAGGCTACCGCGAATCACTGTAAAGGCCAGATATGCATTCAATCACCTCCAGCGTTGCTTAATGAAGTCGAATGCATGGCGCATCCCTAAAGGATTGATCAACGCCGAGAGCTTTATCCTTTAACCTTTTATTTTGCTCAATTTTCTGAAGGAAATGAAGCTAACAGCAAGAATTTTTTTGGACTGAACACTGTGGCTACCTTATACATTAGGTTTAGAAGCACATTTAGCAGATTAAATGAATTGAAATGACTAGTGAACGACATTTTAAGAGTATTAAAAGCCACGACTCCTCACGTGCTTTTCCGGAAAGAAGTTTCTGGCTTCGCTTTCTACAATTCAGACAAACACTAGCAGTCCTTCTCCCCAAACTTTCTTCTCTGGTTTCTTATTCCAACATCAAACAGTTCGCTTCGAAAAGTGCAGGACTTCCTGTCCCAAAAGACATGTAGATAATTCACAGTTCTCATGATGTGCCAGTACGACGTTGTTATTACACTATTATTCATTCATCCACAAAAGCTAACGTTTCAGCGATTTTCGTCATCTTCAGAGCTTGGAAAGATCAAGTTGACTGCTATACGGTCAACCAAAAACCTCCATATTCTCAGCAGAAATGCCACGAATTCCACATTTCAATCGAAATGGGGGCGAGACACTTTCTTCACTTTGAGAAAAAAGGCATAAATATGGAAAGTGAATACTTTCACTCCTTCCAACGTTTTACAGCCCCATCCTTGCTGCGAGGTGTTCCTGTGTGTGGGGCTGCGATGCACAGCGGGGAGATTCATACCCCTGTCGGAGTCTCCCAAGCTGAGAAAGAGTCCGGAATTTCCACCAGGAAGCCCTGTTAAGAGTGAACCAATACCAGGATCCATTACAGTTCTGGTATCAAAGTCGCATGGTGGTAATTCTCCCTCCGATCCACAAGGGCTGCGACTGCCTGTCGTGATGACGGCCTGGGGCAGAGTTTGGCCAAGCGAACCTCAGGACTCCAGGCGAGCACAATGGCTAAACGAGAAAAATTCCGAAAAATGAAGAGTATGCTTGGGCCGCACAACCAGTGAAGACGGGCTGTCCAAGTATCCAAGGAAATAAGAATATTTTCACTAACCATGCAGTAATTTACGTCCGCAGATTTCGTACACCACGATGATACTGAGATATTTGCAAAACTCTCGACCGCAGGTGTTAGCAGTGAAGAACGAATGCACTATTACCCCTTCCGGGGGTTAATGCGTTCGCCACCAAACCATGTAGGTGCTTCGTTTCGCCTGTTTCTTCATGGACCATTGCGAAGCGTTGCGGTTGTGAGGCGGGTCGAATCGCAGATTTGAACGACTTGCTGTTGATGTCGACCGGGTTAAGAGGCGTTCGATCCGTTCTTTCAAGGAGTCGTCGGTTGTTCTCTGATACCTCAACAAGACCGTTAGAAGCTAACAAGCCATCTAGCGGCGTTCGTCTGAACGTGAGTTTACGACACTCAGTTCGCTCTGTGGTTTTACTTGTAGTTTCGCAGTTTTATGGGATGTTTTCAATTTTATTTACTATCTATACTTTTTTTATGGGAAAGGTAGAACCTGAAATGTATCCAGAACGATGATGAGATTTGAGCGAGATTTGGAACCTTAGGTCGGCTTCAAACCCACCATTATCTTTTCGTTGGGCTTACCTGCTATCCACCCCACTAACTGAGGCCCGTCCTTTGTCTTTCTCTCAGCCGATTTGTTGCTCTCCAAAGGCGGTAATTGCGGTTCGAATTTCTCATGATGTTCCGAGTTTGCTTACATCTCAGTATCCTTTCGGTTTTATGGCGTAGTTTTAAGCTCACTAATTTACCTGGCTTTCAGGGTTGGGTGCAGAAATCTCAAAGATGTGGGTCTTATGTGTTTCTCCATTTGTCCGATGGAACGTCGGCGGATCAGATTCAGATTGTTGTTCCTAAAGACTTGTGCCGTACAGGTAGGTCTTGTATCTATCTTACATTGTTTACTTCTCTTTTTTATGTTTGGTTTTATGTGAAAGCGAAGATGTCGAGCGAAAGTTTACTAAATCTGTGTCGTTTGGATGTTTTCTTAGTGGCATCTCCTTTGACTGCAACGCACATGTGGAATCGATCTCAGCGCCTGACCCACCATGATATTCTACTTCCATCCATCCGGGGCGGGCAAATTGGTACCAGACTTGTTTGGAAGGGTAGCAGCACTGGCTCGATACATTGGTTGGTCACCGCGAGTTCCAGATGCGCATTCAGTCACCTTCAAACGATGCTTAATGAAGTAGAATGCATGGCGCATCCCTCAGGGATTGATCAATGCTGAAAGCTTTATTCTTTTATCCTTATCTCCTTTGACAAAAATATTCTCATTGTTAGTTTTTAGTAGGTGATTTGGCGCTTTTTTAAATGGATATTTGTTAATGAAAGCATTTTAATCAATAAATATGAAATCGATTAACGTGAAGTAGGTACTTCTTCGAAGTTAACCTTAATATATGTCTGTTGTAAGAAGATGTCTGTTGGGAGTGAATTTAGTTCCTGTCGGTTCTGCGGTGTCAGTCACAGGCCGTTGGCAACCAAGCTCAGGCTCACAACAGGACTTCGAAGTACTCGCAAGCAGTTGTGAAATAGTAGCAACTGATGCAGATGTAAAATTTTCTTCTGGAACCAGATTATAAACCATTTTAAAAGGAAAAACACCACAGTTTTCCAATTTAGCCAAGGTACTCTTCACTTTCACCAGACCTTCTTCGCAAGAACCTCCATCTACGCGCTCGTTCTGTTGCATTTTCTGCTCTGCTTCGATTACGGTCTAAATTGTTTTTCAAGATCCACGAGTATTTTATAGTAAGTCGTTGTTATTGTTGATAGAGAGGATTTGTTTCTTTTTCTGCACTAGAACTTAGAACTGCTTGGTTATCCGTTCTTGTGAAATTGATGCAAGTCGCGTGAATCATTGTGTTTTCCACGTTTCTCCTCGTTTCTGCTATTCTAGACCCTAATGCTTTTATGCTTCGAACCATTGACAGGTGTTTTTTTCCATGCCACTTCCCTACTTCGACATAGTATTTCACTCCTTGAAGATGCATTTAAGTGGAAGACGTGCTCGTCTTTACGGAGTATATGTTTCGTCCATTTCTCTTCTGCTTACTTACTTGAGCACTTGGTCAGCCCGTCATCACTGGTTGTGCAGACCCCAGCACAATTTCCATTTTTTAGGAGTTTTGGTGGTTTAGCCATTGTGGCTCCCTGGAGTCCAGTGGTCAGCCTGGCCAAAGGGTACTCCAGGTCTTCACCACCACAGGCAGTCGCCGCCCTTGTGGATCAGGGGGAGATTTGCCGCCATGGGCCTAGTTTGGTACAAGATCCACTTTTCTTCATTCAATTTAAAACTGGGAATTCGACTTCCGAACGCTTCTACTATTATATTATCTAAGTGGAGAAGCGTGGTGCTGTGTGTTCTTTTACTTGTCGGCGTTATTTACATTCATATAATTTCTTATAGAATCGTGGATACGTGCATATTGATACTCCAATGTTAACGTTTAATGATTGTGAAGGTGCTGGCGAAACATTCTCAGTAGCTGTAAGTTCTGCTCTTTAAATTGTTCTAATCTCTCCGGTTTGACAAACGAGAGGAACATAAGAGCAATAACCTATATGTTCGAATGGAAGAAAATTCAGACAACTTCGTGTTCTAAAGATAGCGACTTTTTTTCTAAGAAGGATGTGTTTTTGTCCGTTAGTGGTCAACTGCATCTAGAAGCGATGGTAAGGTTGGTTCTTGTTAGCGATTTCATTTATTGTTTAATTATTCCATATTGATTCATATCAAAATGAAGCCATGGAAGGTAGCATAGCGTTAGACATTTGGAGTTTTGTAACCATGGGGTCTGCATCGATATAGCTGTTAATGGTGGTAGTGACCTTCCTGAACATGTTTCCTCGAACACTTCCTGGAAATTTCATAGTTGCGGTATTTCAAGTTGCTCTTTTGATGCCTTTGTTTCGAATTTATGAGTATGACTTTATCCTTTTTCGTCCACGAATTCTTCGACTGTTGACATCTTTAAGACCAAACTAGGTCAGTAGGTCATTTTTCACTTGCGGTATTATTGTCTGAATAGACGACATCATGTTCATATTCGCCAGCTTTTTGTTTACTGCCTATTACTTTTCACGTCAGGGTGTTATGTGAAATAGTTCCAGAATGATACTGAGATACTTGGAAAACTTGGACTCTAAACCAGATTCGAACTCGCAATTACCCTTTTCAGGGGCTCATGTGTTACCCACTGCACCATTGAGGACTCTGCTTTGCCTTCCTCTCATCCAATTTTTTATTATTTTTTTGCAATTATCTCGGCATCATTTTACATTATATTCATTTGTGTATAGGAAAGATAAATATATACAAGAAGATAACTACACCAAACGTGTTTAAAACGTGCCACGATAATCTGCACTTTATCTAGCCAATGCATTGAACCTTTTTGATTAGATAACTGTGAACAGAGTAGATTTCTAAATGTGTGGAACAATGAATGGTAATATGGTAATAATGGTAATTTATGATTAAGAATAGGATCTCGACTTGTGAATTGAAGCCTGTGAGCTCTAACTGGTTCTGATGAAACGTAGTAGTGGTCTAGCAGGTTCTAGTGATACGTAATAATGTGCTTTACTTTTTTCTGTAACTTATACCAACTCTTTTATAGATATTGCTAGTTTTTCTAACGTTTTCGTAATAATGGTCGCATAGATCTTATGAAGGATTTTTTATGCAGCGGTCTTTCAAGCGTTTACACTATAAGCACCGGTCTTCGAGCTGACAAGCAACAGAGCAGAAATCACCTTAGTGAATTCAAGATGTTAGAGGTCGAAATTGCTTTTTGTGATGTGAGTTTTACCTAACCACATTAATCGTTTCCTTCATACTCAGATTTGCTTCAGAATTTGGATCAGCTGCTGACCGTTTGTGAGGATGTATTGCTATCTTCCGTTCGATATTTCATTAACGATCCTAACATATTGAAAGACTTCGAATCTCTGAGCCCATTCTCGTCGGTAGTGCGTCAATAATTTGTCATTTTACATTTTTCTGCTTGTGTTCCGAACTTGGATTAAATAATTGGATTCTGAATGAGTGGTCATAGGTTCCAACTTTTAACGAGGGCTGAAAATTCACGGTTTAGGATCATCTGGCCACTCTGCGTTCTATCGCAGATAGTCCGCCATTTCCTCGAGTGCCCTACGCTGATGCTTTGCGACTACTTGTCAGTAAAAATCAAAAAGTATCCCCAAGTGGTCTGAGCAAGCAGAATGAAGCATTCTTGGTGATCATTTGTAAATTAGTTAGACATTTCAGTTATTTTAGCACTAATTTGTTTTTCCATTTTAAGGTCAACTACTACAATTCTCCCGTGTTTATTACTCACTTTCCCTCGGACCAAAAACCCTTCTATACGTTGCGTTCTTGGGATGAAAAACTGGTAAATTTTTTTCCTGTTGTTGTTCGACTTTTTAAAGCTAACTGAATTCCTTTAGACAGAATCATTTGATTTACTATGTCCTTTCGTTGGGGAACTTGCAAGTGGTTCTTTGCGTGAAACGTCTGCAGATAAGCTAAGAAGTCGAAGCCCGAACATTGAATGGTAGTTTTTCCATCGTAGTAGTGTTCTGCTAGTTTTTCTTTGTGGCTTAACGTTTTTACCGTTTTATACGTATTTGTTTCCAGAAACTATGAAATATCGAATTTTATCTCTGAAATCAATCTCTTTTATATCTCTATCTCTTCTGATCTTAACATTATTAATCTAAATGAGGACTACTAGGTGCTTAATGAAAACGTTTAAATATTTAACAACTGAATTACTTGAAACCACGGTTCTCGAGCTCTTTTTAGTAGTAGCTTCATTGCTGAGGGTTTTATTCTCGCAAATGCTTTCAAACGGGGTATCCAGTTAATAAGAAATTCAGTGAGTGTGATTTGGATGAAATAAAACTTTGTATCCTCATTATTTCAGCGTAGACAGTATGAGTTTAACGAAATACGTTCATTCTTGTCATCTCACAGAATTGATATTTTCGAATTAATACCGTTGGTGGAGTGGTGGAGTTTTTGGTCTCGAAACATTTCCTGAATTGGCTTCCAAGGTTTTTTCTTCATCCACTGTAGAAAATGTTTCGCTGATCCTGCCAAAACCTATTTTCGTCATGTACTTCAACCGAGAGTCGGGATTTTTTGTTTCTCAGGAGAAGCGCAGACTATGTTTCATAACCTGTCTTTGCTTTTTGTTTGGTCCTTGTGGAACCATTGTTAGACAGGAGAGATCCTACTTACTACTACACGGTAATTATTCAACTACACCGGAAACATCTATAAAAAGAAACTATTCTCATATCACAGCCTGCGCAGTACTCACAAAACCCCAGCAACGAGGTAGTGGCTGATAACAAACTACGATACACCATGAATTCAAAATAACCGAAGCGCTGCAATATTACTTCTTTTTCATTTTCACTGCGTACTACTATACATCTCCTATTTGATTTCTGGCTAATACTATTCCTTTATAAGTACAACGGAGTCAATCCGATGAATAGTTGAAAGGTTGGGGTAGGAGATCACCGGCATAGCAGTTCGAATCAACAAGCCCATGAATGGATTCGTGCTTGAAATTCCACGTGTACAAATACTTGTAATTGCCAATAAATCATTCCCACCAACAAGTCAGTTACTGTCACTCAACGTAGTACGTAAGCGTATTCAATAGCTCTACTGCTTCACCACCGTAATCACTGGTTATTCACAAGCGTCGTGCAACTCGGTATAGAAGAACGACGAAGCTGATAATGCTTTACCTTACGAGCGTGTCTCCCAAAAGAAACGGCTTTCTTGGCAGACGTGGTCATGGAGCAGGCTAAAAGGGTTCCAACCGACTATTCTCATTCTTATCTTAGTTTAAAAGTACAAGGCGAATTTTGTTTTTAAAAACGGCGTGTGTTATAAGCACAAGGATGGGAACCATATATAAAAACTTGGTATTATATCTTTAGTATCTTAGCATTCTGTGCAGGAGTGATTGGTTAGAATTTAAGGTACACAGAGCTTCGTGAACGAGGAAAGCCGATATCAGGCGGGTTTGGCATGGGTTTTGATAGAAAGCTACAACTTCTTCTAGGAATTGCCAACATCAAGGATACTGTTCCATTTCCGAGATGGTTTAAACATTGTCAGTGCTAAATTGAGTTGTTAACAAGACGTTTTTCTATTAGAGAAGTTGTTAGGGAACAAATAGCTGGTCGTTCCAAGCATTTTCTTCAATTTTGGCTGTGCTTTCGCATTGTGTAGAAAGTGTTTGCCCTTGTTCCTGGTCGTATTCTACATCCTGTTTTTTCAACCTAATAAAGAGTTTGGTCTATTATAGTATTGAAGAGCGTTGTTTAAACCATAAGTAATGATATAATGCACTTTTCAATGTTTGCTTCATTGTCCCATCTTCATGTAATAGAGTTGGTTTCTATAGATGGTCAAACTTAAAAGTCGTTATGTCCTCTTGGAGATTTTGAATGATTCATCTGTTAGCCTATCAATTACTCCTTCTAAGCTGTTTTTAACCATCGCTGAGAAGATTGGAGACTTTCATGGCGACTATGGGTTTTCTATTTGTAGAAGTGGATTAGCGGTAAGTGGAAGCTTCGTTTCTTGAATTTCTTGGTTCATGAGTTTTCAATCTAGGTGAAAGTAGTCGACGGCGATGTAGCACTGGTTCGTTTTGATATAAGTGCTGAGAAGTTTGTAAAGAGTGTTTTACCGTTTATCACTAACATCGGTGGCACTGAAGTCGTATTGCGCTCCCTTTTTGTCGGTTAGTTGGTTTTATTCCACGGAAATGGTAACTTTCTTCCTATTTTCGGTGTTGTAGGTCGGAGTATTAGAGCTTGCGAAAAGTTTCTAATAAAGTACCGAAGAAATGAGTTATATGGGATGTTGAAACATGCAGTTACTGGAGGTGAGCGTTGCTAGTCATGTTAAATATGTGTCATCCATCATCACCTTTAATTGTAGTGGAGAAAAAGATGGTTCTGAAGGCTTTGAGTGATGTAAGTGGAAAATTATCTGACTGAAGAAAGGACAACTTTGTGGGAGTAGTGGACTTCCATTTTTTTGGATTTGTTTGGTTTGTATATACCTATTATTACTAGCTTTAATCATTTATGTTTCTGCTAAACAACGTAGTTTTGCATAAATGTGATTCCTGCTTTGTTAATAAGATATATTTCTTCTTTGTTAAAGAAATTCGAAATGCCCACATGGATGGTGGTGCTTCATCAACGCTAGGATGACCAACTCCTAGGAAAATGTAATGGAATTAATTTACTCTGGTTTGTAACTGGACGCTGCTATTGTAATCGCACTTGCCTTTCTTTGTTTTTCTTGTCTTGCTTATGTGGGAAATTTCGAGCCAGATATTCAAGAGGTTACGCTGTGTGTCCCAAGGTGGCAAGTAGAGGATAAACGGCCGCGAAAGGTGGCAATGTGTCAACTCCTCTGATTTTTTCCTTGCATACACACGACGTATAAATAAGTGCAAGTGCATGCATGGGTATTTGCATATATATATGAATTCTATCCTACTTTATCTGTCCGTCTAAATCCGACCAATCAATCAATTATGGAGTTCGGATTGAGGCAGTGTTTGTTTGTTTCTCAGAGAAAATTCGAAAACTGCTTCGACAAAGTCTAACGGCACCAATAGTGCAATTAACGGACATGCTAACGCTTTATTGATGCCCATTGAAACGATTCAGTGATCAGCAGGAGAACTAGTTAATGCGACTGATGACATTTTATCTGTCAGTGTTTCAATATGTTGAAATTTTTGTTTGGGTACCAAGTATATTCCTATATCAACCCAAAAAAGAAAGAATTTCATCTCGCTCTTGGTTTTCAAGTTTCCACGCCTCCGTTTTCGCGTGGTATCCATCATGCATGAGAACCGGTAATCGATTTCTGCTTTTATCAGCACGGCGTATCATTTGTCTGTTGATAACAATGGCTTTGCTTTTTCTCGAAGTGGACCTTTCCCCATTCCAATTTTTCATTAATACCGTGTTATTACAGCTTAGCCAGTACGCCTCCGCTAGATTTCGAGATGGTCCCCTCTTTAACGATTTCGCCCAGAATGAATCGCTCTTGCTAAATTGGGGCCAACTAAGTCGGATTGCTATCTAATGAACTCATCTGAATTATACATGATGTCCAGATTGACACCTGTCTAGAGCTTCTAACTTATTGTTCTTATCGATGCGTTCTTGACTTCCGAAATGCGTTACGGCTTTCTGAGTCAAGCATATAGCTCTTTTAAAATGGTTGGATAGATTTGTTCTATTCTTCAGTCCTTCATCATACAAAAAAAACTATATGCAGTAAAAAAAACTGTATCACCAATATCATCAATCGTCCCATTCATCGCCGAGTCTCTCGAGCGGGTGCAAGTAAATCTTCCATTTTTTCCCTATCGTGTACAAAAGTAGCCCAGTCGCTCCCGCTCGCTCTAGAGACTTGTTGGGAAGAACTCTAGCCGTCGGGTCAGTGGTCTTCCTGCAGTGCATTTGACATTCCGAGGAGTCCAATCATTACCGGCTTTTTCCCATCGGTTGTCGTTAATACGCATTACGTATCCGGCCCACCTTTTATCTTCGACTATTTGACGTACAGAACAGCATCTTTGGTTTTTGGTCGTTGACGCATTCGGAGCTTTGGATCCCTCTATTTACTTGTGAAACATAGGGTACTCCTAGCATTGTCCTTTCGACTGCGCGTTCAATAACGCTGAGTGATCTTTCATCCTGTTTACGCAGCGACCAAGTTTCTGAGGTATACATTAAGGCAGGAAATATCGTAGGGTCGAAAAGGTGGGCATTGAGTCGGATATTCTTTGTTCTGTTCACTATATTCTCGATGCTCTTGAAAGCTCCTTGCTATCTCGGCAGCCTAGAGTCACTCTGAGATTTTATCAGCCTCTCCATACTCATTCTACCAAAAGTTGCCGAATCGGGGGTTCTTTCATGGTTAGGGGAATGAGGCCCGTTGATTTTACTGCGTTTAGCCTTTTGATTATTTATCATTTATGCCTTGCTGAGCCCTGAAAGTAGGGGTTAGGTTTACTCACTGATAGCCTCCCAGTCTCTCCCAGAGTGGACATGAAACTTATTTCTTGTCGTGTAACCATATGAATGCTTTCTTCATTCTTACATTTTAAATGGCACATCATGTCTACTATTCGGATCTCGGTACTTCTCGGATTCGATTTGTTTTCCTCGCACTCATCGTCCACAGTATTCTTCGAACATTTCACCTTTTGTTTCAAGTGCTGCGAATTCGTCTTCTTTATGAATGTCGTAGAATACTGGTGTAGTCAAATCTTGCAATCTTGGATACTGCCACGCTAAAGCGTCTCCGTGTAGATAGGATTTACGGCATCATTAACCGCTGCGCTGTTTTCGCCTTAACCATACGAAAAGGATAGTGGACCTCGAAATCTCTGTAGAGATGGTCCTTTTCATTATAAATCTGTGATGGATTCACGAATGCCGTCTTTTAAACCACTAGAGAGAGAGAGAGAGTACGGAAGTAGGAGAGAAAGAGAAAAAAAGCTATGGAAATGAAAAGATGACCAAGTTTTTTGTTCTTGCTTCTTGTAATTCTAATGAAGACCTGTTTATAAGCTGCTCGATGCCGCATTGCGTTTGTGGCTGGGCTGATTATTTAAGAGTTTGATATTTACCAGTGGTGACAATGTCGGTGTAGAGCACTCCAGAAGATGTTTGATGTAAATGAAAAAATGGGTGATGTCTGTCACTTGCATGTGGAATTCCTAGAGTGTGATTGCCTCTAACAATGACCACCGTTTACGTGCTGATATCTGATTGTGTTATCGTGGTCAGCGAGGTTACTTAAACGGTTTCGCATTGATAGCTTGTAATATAAACCAACTGCATCATCCATTCCCCGGTTAGTCGTCGAATTATTCCAGCGGCCGAAGGTAAGATTTCCATTTGTCCTTGTTGAGTGTAAAAGCATCTCCTTAGAATTTACTGAGCCACTTGAAGAACACCATTATTCTTTCAGGATTCTCGTGTAGAATGACAATTGAGTGGGTGATATACTTGCAGTGCGCTTGACATTATCCCAACTACTCCTGTCCACTCCTTATAGTTACGGTTTCCGTCATATAGATTTCGCAGCCTAGACAACCATAGTTTGTGCATCTGAAGAACTCGTTCTATTGCATTGATCAAAAAAGAATCCGTTCTACATGAATACCACTTTAGTAAAGTTCAATCTAATGCCGATTTCTTCAGGTAAAATATTAGAGTCGTTCCATTCTCGTATCACCTGGTTAATGCTTGAGGTTACCAGAACAGTATTATCAATGAGACGAGCATGATGTAACTGTTGAGCATCGACTTTCATTCCCATACTGACCTATTCCAGTTTTCGCATGATGTTCTTAAGAGTGGTTATAAATGGTTTTATTGAGATGGTACCACCTTGTCGTACTACCGTCTTTACGTCAGTGTTAGTCTCCTCGCGTAATTATGGTTGTGCTGTTGTTATATAGAGTACGAAAAAATACTTTGGCCAGAGTTCATATGACCACTACTGTTCCAACTAAGGCTAAACCGGAACCACTAAAGCGAACATATCCTCCTGTCCGAGTGGAGCCAGGTTGACGCAGATTTCGGAAATTTTAGAGTGGAAGTGGAATACTTTCTTCACTGCCCTTCTGGATTTGTCTTCACAGTAGAAGGCGATCATTTTGCTAATGTAATTGACAAAGTCTCAGTGAGCGTTGTGAACGCTGTTCTCCACGTCTGCGGCTCCAGCCACCTCCTATTCTTTTTATTTGGCTATAAAGACCCACGGCTCGTGCAGCGCAGTGGTTGGAGGCGCCACTGCGACACACGTGGAATCGACCCCCGCAACCATGGCCCACCAAGCCTTTCATCCCTCCGGAGTGGGCAGATGGTACCAAACTTGTCTGGGAGGATAGTAGCACTGGCTTGGTGCATCAGTAGGCCACCTCGAGTCATTTTAAAGAGCAGATATGCATTCAACCGCCACCAACTGTGCTTAATGAAGTCGAAGGCTTGGCACATCCCTCAGGGATTGATCAACGTGGAGAACTTCATACTTTTGTTTATTTTACCGGCAGGGTACTAAGCGAAATACAACCACAACGTTGCTGAGATATTTGCAAAACTCTGGACCGCAGGTGTCTATGGTGGGGAACGAACGCGCTATTGTCCTTTCCGGGGAGTAGCGCGTTCACCACCACAATATCTTGCAAATATCTCAGCAACGTTGTGGTTGTATTTCGCTTAGTACCCTGCCGCGAAATTATACTAGGCAGAATATAAAAGGTATAACATTAAAATTATTTATTTATTTTATTTTACTTGACACGTCCTCATTGGAAGTCACGTAAAAAGCGGCTCTGAAGAAGGCGATTCTGCCGAAACGTCAGCTACGGTTGTGTTGTATGTGTGTTATTGTATGGAAGTACACGTATGCTGTTTAACAACCTCGCGATTGCTGAACAAGAAAACGACGCATTCATATTCCAATGCCGAGGTTAAGATAAAGTCGATCCTGGGAACTATTGCAAGATAATACACTATATTCTTGATGCGAAAATATGAACTAATATAGTGAGTGATTAACTAATGAGTGATTACTGATTAACTAATTACTTACTAACTAACTAATGAGTAATTACTCATGAACGCTTTCTTACGACGCTTTGTAGGGCTGACAATGACGTGCTGAATCCTAAGAGGCCGTAATTGTTCTGTAAGAAAGCGCTCTCAAGAATAGACAAACGGTTTTGCTGGAATCCGGATGGCAGGAAAAGCGAGTGATCAATTTCCCTTTTATGTAGAAAATCATGCAGTTTACCATTATGACAAAGCGACGGTCGATTTGAAAATAGTTCACGATGTTTTATTTTGGTGCTCACAGCGATTTATTCGTAAAAAAAGTTTCACGAAATTTCCTTGAACATTAGCATGGGAATTTGGTAGGGTCTGACGATCGTTTTTCTGTGGTGAATATGAAAGATAACGTGGTTTGGAAAGGCTACCCTAGTCAGCATGGGACGCTGAACGTTGTGGTCCACTTCTTAACAACTGATTTCTAGAAATGAACTTTTTTGTTGTCTACAAAAAGTTTTTTGCATTAGGTTGTGAGGACGATTCTTAAGAATAATAGCAGTTGCAGCCTTTATCTATATTACTCTTACATTGTCTCCCATTCGCAGTCGTTGGGCTGACGCTACACCCGAAGTTCTCAGTCATTCGTTGTAATTTTCTTTTTATTTTGCAAAGGAATCGTCTCTGCAACGATTTTGTGCTTTTCTCTTTTCTAGAAGTGCGAAAAATATCTCTCGATCAAGGATTGGTATTGGTTTCCAGGATTTAGGAGAAAACTGCACCTTTAAAGCCACTTTAGCAAGAACTCTCAACCTTTGGTTGACTGGAACAGTGGTGACGTTTCGTTAGACCGAAATTAGCGCAGGTATCTTAGAAAACGTATTAGGTGCTCCCGAAGTTAATGTCCGATTTCAACCTACCTCTTCGAAATGGCTTAAAATAAACTTTATTTTTAGAGTTCAAAACCATTAGAATCAACACATTTTTGGAAATAGGAATCAAATTTGTTCATGGCAGTCGCCTAAATTTCTGGAGTTCAGAAGGCACTGAAGCCGTTAAACTTGGTTAGACGTTAAACTTAGCAGAAACGCCGACGACACCTCAAAGCAATGG